CTACTTCTACTGCTGAGCTCCTGTACAGTAGTGCTCAATTTACCTAGCCTAAGGTTTCCATGCTTGCTTACTAGTTCCACATTTTCTCTGTGAGCTACTGGGACAGGACAGGAAGAAATGCTGAATTCTTCCCAGTGCTACACACACAAATGTGAGCTACCCTTTGAATAAATGAAATGAAACTGGAGGTGGAACCTGGCTATTGGAGATTGGACTTCCAATTTTTTCATATTACTCTTTCTGGGATGTAGTTTTCCATTTACAAGATGGGGTTATTAACAATATCTCAGGTGTACCTTGAAAATCTCAGATCTCTGAGATACTGTAATGGTGAACATTTAAAAGCCCATGAAAACGTGCATGTTTCTGTCATCAAAGCAAAGCTGAGAAAAGGTGAGGTAAATGAGGCATGTAACTGGCTGGCTAGGTCAGTGTTCTCCCCTCTGTTTCACAGAGGTAGAGGTCTCAGGGGAGGAATACTGTCTGATCAGATAACCAAAGTAATGCATGTGCTCAAGGAAGTTGATATGTGCTTGTACAGGCAGACCTAAAGGATGGAATTCCTAACTTCTGAGAGGATTTGTGTATTTAGCAGTGTGTTTTGAAATGAGGCTTTTGGGGGGTGAGGAAGATGCATATAATCCTGTAACTTAACAACTGTGGATAAAAGTGTTGGCATGTCACCAAAGGCTAGCAGCGCAAAGTAAAAATGCAACACCTTGCTGCTACCACTTCCAAAAGCCTTGCGAGGTGCTCCTTAGTAAAAATAGTAATTAAAATCAAACTTAGTTAATAAAAAGGCTTGTGAGCTCATTATGATGGGGTGGCACTGATGAAGAGGAGGGAATAGAAGGGCTGGAGAGCTACAAGCTGTCAGCTCCTGCCATTCCTTTAGCTCTGTCTACACCATCGATTTCAGCTGCTGAGGCACGCGGCTGAAAAAAGAGCTATGTCAACAGGAGACGGTGGTGCAGCTATAATTATGCTACCAGAACTGTTGTTACCATGTTTGTTTGCTTTATGAGGAGAGCTGGACTATACCAACATCGGTGTCTTCTAATGTAGATCAGACCTAAGGTCAAGTAAGTGTGTACCTGCACCTTGATCCTGCCAAGATTTACTTGACGACTAATTCACATGATTTCATCTACTTGCACATGTAACACGATGGCACAAGTGTAAGTGGTACCAATGTCTCTGTATTGACATAGCTCAGGTTCTAACAGTGCTAATAATATTATTGTCTACTGCTATTTCATAGTAATTTGTTACATTTCATGTTTCCTCAATTTCTGAGCAATGTTTTAATATTTAGTATTCATATTATTTTGGGGCAAGAAATTCAAGTCTCATAGTGTAAATCCTAAGGTTGAGATTGAATACTAAATATGAAGTGATTATATATGGTCAGAAGGGATGCCTTCTGACACAGGAATGGCCTTTTACAGCTTAACATCCTGGACGAAATAGAGTTCATTAACTAGTATAGAAATTTCATTTGGAAAAAGCCTCTTGCATATTTTTTATTGAGATTTCCCTACTATTTTTTAACACCTATACTTGAAATGTATTAAGGTCCGCTGAGTAGTGCCAGTGGCCCTTGAGTTAGCATATACTGATCACAGAACTTCATATGGTATCACTCAGTTCTTGCAAGATCTGTGCATCAGAGAAATGACAGCCCTTTTAGAGGAGACAACATTCCCTTGTGTGATCTTGTGTGATACAACCTTTTTTTGTCTTTCTAGGAGTCTGACCTGACGTTTCGTTTGGCTAGTGGCCTTGTGATTTGGCAGCCTATGTGGGAACACAGGCAGCCTGAAGTTTCTGCCTTCAACGCCCTTGTAAAACCGATCAGGAACATCGTTACAGGTCCGTGACTTTGCTGTGGTAATGTAGCTCCTGAGAGCTGGGAAGTCTTTCCTTTATTTCCTGATGCTGCCTTACATTCTGTAGCCATTTTATTTGAAGGAATATGTTAATCCTGCAGGAACCAGTCAAATCTTTGAGAGTAGTTTAAGGTTGTTTCTCCTCAGAGACAACGAACATAATTAAATAGGAGATAAGAGAGAAATCACAAATAGGAAATGAGGAACTCTTCAGCAGAGTAATTATTTCCTGCCAGCCTCATCTCTCAGTTTCACTGTATCTTCCTTAGTGGCTGAGGGCAAAGGCAGTATCTAGCAGCAGCCTGACACGGGTGGGGAAGGCTTTCCCAGACTGGCACTGGACAAAAGTTAACAGTGGAGAGCACACAGTTGGCAGTGTAGGTTCTTCTCCTATCTAAAATTTTAATTCTACCACGTTATGAAATTAAACAAAGTAGTTTCAAGAGGCTCTAAAGAAAGCTTAGGTTGTGAATTTGCTTCACAACTGGAAGGGGTTGCTCCTCCTTTGTACTCCAGCCTTAATGAGAGTGGAGTTGGGTGCTTAGGCTTCCAGGCCTTTGTGTCTGGCCTAGTTCTAAAAAACCTTTTTTACTTTCATAATTTTAGACAGTAGTTTTCCATGATTCCTACAAGGTAGTGAATTTAAGTGTGCTGGGTATATCACTGTAGCATCGCTTGCTTGTTCTCAGAAGGTCAGAACTGTAATTTTCACAGTAGTGAAAGTGTAGTTCGCTAAAACAGATATTTCTGATGACAAGTCATTTTGGATGTCATATTTTATTCTGAAGGCTTTGTAGGCTTCTGGGACAGTCCAGAATTGAAAAGATTGAAGCTTTTCAAATGATTTAAAAGCATCTTTGACATCTAGCTCTTATTCCCCCTGCTTCAACTTCTGGAATTAAAAAAAAAAAGGATTTCAGCCCTGGAAATAGCAAAATAAATTAGTCCTAAGTTTTCTTTGACTGCTGGAGTTTCTTCCATAGATCTGGAGTGTGGTCAGAAAATCCCTAAATAATAAGTTTAGGAGTAAAGTCTGAAATGAAAATACTCTGTTATGTTTTGAAAATCTTTTCAGCAGAATGGAAATAGATATTAGAATGAGGTTCTTTATATCAAGGAAGTTTCTGCTATCTGACCGTTTTTTTTTTTCAAATTGAGATAAAGTTAAATTTCTTATATTTTCCTTCAAACAACAAATTAAAGAATTCTACTGAAAAAGCTTTGCAGTGTTTTGTTTGGAGTCAGTCAGATACTAAGTCACATCAGAATAGCTTGCCATGTGACAGAATTTCAAGAATTGTCATCCTAGTCTTTGTGATGCCTTTCTACAGTATCACTGATCAAAGTTACTGCATGACATGCCTATGTTTCTTGTGGTGAAGGCATTTGTCAAATTGGAAATCACAATACATTCTGAGAGGTGTAACCTAGAAAAGGAGCTGAATATACATGAAAAAAGGAGGAGGAAGAGCTCCAGAATAGAAGGCACTAGTATGCCTAGGAAAACATAGTTTACCAAATGGATTTAGGATAAAATTTATATTCAAATTTAATTTTAAAGAAATAGAGATTCTCAGTAGACAATGTTGTTGACAACACAATTGAAAAAAATTGTGCAAAAATTAAAACAGTCCTTTTTTCTTTTTGGCTGTGGCTAATGCCTAGGAAGTCTGCAGCAGAGAGATGTTGCTTTGGTTTCTTTTTGTTTTCTGGATTATCTTTTCAGTGGTACATTTTAATGTTAGAGGTGATTCCTGGAATGTCCTCCTTTGACTTCTTTTCTCAGCTAAGAGAAGTTCTCCCACCAACAATCAGAGCCTGACTTGTGAATCCCCTAATCTAGACAGTGGACATACCGAGGTAAGTTCTGTGCTAAGGTTAGAAAAGCTTGAATAAGGAACTGAGGGAGGGGGGAAATTAATATTGAAACAGCACTTGCAGTTACCACCCTTAAAGTATTCTGTCTCCAGAAATTATAGTTCTTCACAGTTCTTCTGAAGGCTCCCAAGCTTGTCTGCAGTGGAACCAAAGGATATTGAATATAGTTGTTAAGACCAACTTGGCCTTATCCTGTCTTACAGGATGGAAGCCTGATCTCATGTATTTTTGGGGCAAGAGCACTGTTTTACTCTTTGCCTGTACAATGCCTCATACTGAGAAGCCCTGGGCTTGATCAGTTTCTCTGTGGTATTGCCCTGGTATCATGGTATAAGGAATAGTCATGTCTAAGCACAAATTGCAGTAAGAAAACTGACATGGGAGAGATAAATATGTTTATGCACCTATTTCCTTTCATTGAAACTATCCAAAGGGACTACAGGTGGTCTGTGAGACAGCCCAACCAGATTCTGTACCTCCAAAGGCCACTGTTTCAGCCTGTCATCGTGGAAATTCCTTGGATGGAAGCGTATCCTCCCAAACCTCTCAGGAGAGAGGTACTGCGTATCCCAGGTACAAACCCCTTCAGCAGAAAGTCAGGCTGGGGTGATGATGACTCAATGATGGGGGTGACAGAAGCCCTTTCTTTGTCTTGAATCTGCTGTTGTCTGTACACACCAAGGGTGCTGAATGTTTGTCTCAAACTCTTAATTCAACAAATCTGTTCCTTGGTGATGAACAAAGTGGTAACACTTGATATTCAATACCACTTTCATTGGAGAAATTTCTAGCTGGCCTGTTGGGACAGTTTGTTTGGTCTTTTCTAATATGTTGGTTTCTTATAATTAAAGACACTAATAAATAACTTGCAGGTTCAACCCTCCTTAGCTAGATTCAGCCTCAGGCAGCTGGTAGCTTTTCCAGTTTCCTTCTGATCAAATTTTCTTTGCCTTTAGCAAAGGATTTTTGCAAGCCTCTCTCCATTGCCTTCATTATGCCTCTCTGCATCCTGCTGCTTAGCTTGCTTTAGATTACTGGCCCAAAGGAACAGACTAACCGAGAAGTACAACCAGGCAAACACCCTCCCAGCTTACCCTGCGGAGCTCAGGGCATGATTTTCCAGTGTGGCACTGATAAATCAACTTCTTTTAATCTAGATTTGGGCAGATAAAGATAGAACCAAATTTTCAGTAGTGCTGGACACTCAGTAGTGCCATGAAGTAAATGAAGCTGCTGAGTGTTTCCAGGGGGTGGGGAAGGAGGGAAGCCTGTCTTTATTTTTAGGTCTCTGTGGATTTAGGAGTGTCACTGAAATCCTTCTGTAAATTTTAGTCCTGTTGCTTATCTCTTTTGGGAAATATCATATCCAAAACACTGCAATGTTTTAAGAAATTGCTTCATTACAGAGACTGAAGAAATGTGGGACAGTGTGGTTTCTGGATATAATCTAGGGGAATGGCTCTGCTCTCTCAAAAAGGGGTCTGATGTACCCTTTCACTGGTGGAAAGGACAAAGCTATGCTCTAGAGTTCTGATCCCATCAGGAGGCTTCCCTCAGGATTTTGTATTAAGCCTGCTGTCAGTTCTGGGTCTTTATTTAATTGTATTAATGTGAGCCAGTAAAACTGAAGTTGGGGATAGAACTACCTTTCTATGTGTTAACACTACTGCTCAGAGAGTGCACAGCCATAAAAAAATAAGCAGCCTTTTAAGAAGACAGCATCAGGTGATCAATTTGTCAAGCTGGGTCTGCTGGTTGCTATGGGGATGAAGCTTCAGACAGGCTTTGAAGAGAGCATCATTATGTCTCCTCATTTGCAGGACTCATTGATCAGTTAAAACTGTACAGGGAGCTTTGGTTGCCAAGCGACAGACAACTGGGGAACAAATGTTGTTTACTCCCTCTCCTTACCAACAGCCGCAGTATTCCTTTGTCCTTGTTGAAGGAAGGCTGCCTTTCTGCTCCCCCTGCAGTCACAGGCAACCAAGAGCTGATTATATGAACACTAGGTTCCCTTCTAAATGAAGCACAGAGTTTAATTTCTGGTTCCTCAGACACTCCTTGAGCAAATGGCTTGTTCCTCTGATCCTGGCTGATTATCCCTGCTCCACTCAGTGAAATTCTCCATTTACAGGTGATACACTTTAACACTGGAGCAAATAAAGCCACAGCCAGCACAAACCCTTAATCCAGCTGCTGTCTTGAGCACACTGCCTGGGAAACAGACTTTGCAGGAATGACTTTAGTGACAAATATTGCATAAGGAGAACATGCCTTGCTCCAGGCTGTGTTGTGCCTTGGGTTTGCCTGTGCCACATACAGGGGAGCATGAAAAACTGTTTACAGACTCAGACACTGGTCTGTGTCCTGCAGAGTGACCAGGGGGCAATGCATCATCCTTTACATTTGCTACTGAGGTGATGGGCTCCATTTAACTTGCTGGGATGCTTTGAGTATCCCAGGTTCCCTGGTGGTTTTTTACAGACTGCATCTATGTGATACAACCTTGACTGTGACAAAAGCAGCCTTCACATCAGGTTTATGGGGAAAACTTTATAGCATATTTCCATTTATCACTATTTTCTCCTTACTAATTCAGTTGTTCAGATTTTTCTAACAGTTCATTTTAAAGTGGTCAAACTTGTAGCATTTTTGCCTTGAATACAGCACTAGGGGAGAAGCTTTGAATCTACAGATTGCATATAGTGACATACGCTGATGCAGACGGGCTGGTCTGCAGTCACCAAGTGCCTTCAGCATTGGCCTGTGGGGCTGGCAGCAAACCAGTTCCTGCAGGTTTGAGTCTAGCTGCACACATTGCTCCAAGCCCAGCCTTGCCACCTGCCCCCCATTTCCAAGCGTGTAATATGGAGCAGGGTTCACGTGATTCCAAGGGGAGTCAAGGTTCACTGCACACTTCTTTCTCCTTTGCCAGTTATATATTTCCTTGGATGCATAGGGCAGCTTTGTGGCACTGGGCAGCAATCCAGCAAAGCCCTTTCAGCGTGCATTTCACTTTAAACACTTAGAGCTTCCAGTATTGCCACTTGTTCTCTAATGCTTTGCTGGACTGCGGCCTTGGACGCCTCTGTTGAGAATATGGTGATACCAGGTGGGGCCCTGTGAGGTGGGGGGTGTTCTGCCAACGCTGTTTGCATGTTGTTTAGCAAAATTGATAATATAAGTGATTTTAAAAAAATATATATATATATTTGATGATCTTGTGATGATTCCCAAATGCCTAAGAATACAATCCATGTAAGTGCTGTTGATTTTTACAGAATACAAAAATCACACAAGTACTCGGTTCACAGAGGTGTATTTCTAAGACACTGAGGGGAAACATTCAAATTGTGTACTTTTGGAGGCAAAAAAAAAAAATAGACATCTTCAGAGTTCTTGCCCCACCCTCAGCATTTCACATCTTCTTTTGCCATGTGATTCTCATTCCTCTGACTCCCTTTCACTGCTTCTTTTCTGACAGATTGTCTCTTAACAGCTAGTGACTCTATAGGGAGTAGATCAGGCCAGTTGTACTCTGCTGGGAGAGAAGTGGTGTAAAAAAAACAAATAATAAAAAGTTGGGGAATTTTATTGCAATAAGATTGGCTCTGAAAACCAATCTTTGATCCCTTTGAAATCTGAAATCTCTGGAGCCTCATTTCTGAGGCTTACTACAGACATCTTGCTTTTGTGTGCACCAAGTTCTACAGTTCTTAAGAAATTCCATTCTAAAAACCAACAGGAAATTATACCACCTGAAAGGCAGGAAAATCATAATGAAGGCTAAAAATTAACCTTTTCTCTAACAGACCTTGTCAAAGAGTGTCCATAACAGTAACTTTTTATTGTGCAAGAAACAATTTAATTGGCTTGAAGGGTTAACTAACTTAGCTGCCCTGCCTGCTGCTTCTCAAGTAAGGGCTGATGTGTACAAATGTCAACCATTCCTGGATATCTGTTACTGGTATCTGAACAGCAGATGCTCAAGGGTTGTCTGTTTCCAGCTGAACAAATTACTCAGTTAGTGCAGGTGCTGGAGGCTTATCAGACCACAGTTTAAGAAAGCAACCCTATCCCAGAAAACACTTAACAAAGCGTGTGATTGAGTCCTCTGGGGAGCTGAAAGCTAAATATCCACTTACGCATTTTCAGTAATGCTTTCCTCAGTCAGGGCCTTAGTCCTGAAGGGTTAGTGTCAAATGTCCCTGCAGGCTCAAGCAGGCACAGCTTTGTACCCATCCTGGCGGTTTCTACAGATGGCAGGAGAATGAGAATGGCTTACAGCTTTTGTTGAGTGGCTAAATTTTAGGTCTTTTAGTAGAGCTCTTGGGTCTTTTGGGGTGGACCAGCATGTATGCTAGGATTGAACTGGTTTCCAGCTATCAAAGAAAACTTTGTAGTATCAAGAGTGACACCTGTTAAGAACAGTTGGAACATACAAACCTGACTGATCATCGAGTGACTCTTTATTCAGAGAGCTGAGTATCTAAGAAGGGCTAAGGAGCCTGACGACTAATATTTCTACTCCTGCTTTTTGGAACAGGGTGTCCCTGGTGATCCCACCGTGCCAGAAGTCTCGCTATGCCACATACTTCGATGTGGCAGTGCTGCGCTGCCTGCTGCAGCCACATTGGTCTGAGGAGGGCACACAGTGGTCACTAATGTACTACCTGCAGAGGCTGAGGCATATGCTACAGGAAAAGCCGGAGAAACCCCCTGAGCCAGAGATCACCCCTTTACCAAGACCTCGCAGCAGCTCCATGGTGGCTGCTGCACCCTCTCTGGTGAATACCCACAAAACTCAGGTAAGCAGTTGCCATCAATAAGGAAATAGCAGCTGTGGTGGTGATGCTGGGACCATGGCTGGACAACTAGTGAAAAGCACAGCTTTGGTGTTGGTTAAACTGTGCAGAGGTCAGATATGTGATCGATTCAGAAAGAGACCCTGAAAACTATGAGAGTTCTGGAGGCAGAATCTGATGCAGAGAGAGCTGCTGACTACTGAAAGCTTGAGGGTTGATTTGGAATAATTAATCTAGGGTGAACTGTGAGAACAACATTATCTTTTAATGTGAGAATATACTAATGTAGTTGTTGGAAGAAATCAGACTGCCTTTGCGTTACGGTGTAATGCTCTGGACTCGCTGAGCTTCTTTGGTGTAACCCCTCAAAAGAGAGAATTGCACTTGGTACAGCACTGCACACTCCAGGCAAACATGTCAGTTAAAATATTGCAAACAGTGTCAGGGAGCAAAAGCCCTCCATGTTGTTACCTCTTCTCCTGCTGTTGTTTTGTAACTGTTACCTTTATATTTGCCAACAAAACCTCAGTAGACAAACTGTCCTAATAGGTGTCAGGACTTGCTCCCTACGTTGCTGGAAAAGGAACCCCAGACTCCTGACCTTGGTGCAGTAAAGATCTTTGTGTTAGAGCCTACATGTTTGTTCTTTTGGGTAGCTCACTGTTGTTCCAGAGATAAAAAGGGGATGCTGCTGCAGTTTCAGTTAATCTCCTTGTTGATGTGTGCTACTTTTAGGTTGTGCACTCTTTTTTTTTTTGTCATGTGGGCTTTTAACAGCAAATTCGGATTTACTAAGTTGATGGAACTGCCTAAGAAAATTTAATAAGGATTCTATTTTTGCAATCCAATTTTAGGACACACCTCAAATAAAAGGCTCTATCTTCTGTCAGCGTTTCTGTCAAATGTCTTTTTTGAGTCAGAATACTCTGAATTTTTTGTGGTTTCTTTCTTAAAATCATTGCTTTCAGTACCATAGAGCTCTGTCAGTTTTTGACCTGTCATTTTATAGGAGAAGGTGAAATATCTTTTCTCCTGTACAGCCCAGATGCTCATAATCCGGAAGACAAGCGTAAACAACGTAAATAGTAGTACTGTTGTTTTTAAATCTCAGGATTTTATAGCCATTCTTATGACTTTTATGAGGGCTGGTTTGTGGCTTTAAGAGCTCAACAGCAGCAGTAGTATTGTTTAAACTGTATTATACTTTAGTGTCATTTCTATAAAATGTTGCCTGTTTCATCCCTGTAAAGCTTGAGGTATCTCCCTAAAGGCCAGGTGATAGGAGTAACTATTCAATCTTAATCTACCTTTGCATGGGGATTTTATAGGATTGCTGTGCATGCACAGAAAATCCTCCTTAATATCACCTCCTGGAGGTGAATTGGAAGATGCTGCTGTTGATGTGGATCACTGTTTCCATGCTGATACTGTCCCTTTGCCTTTGCTCATAACTGCTCATAACTGCTTGAGTCCAGCGCAGAGCCACGAAGATGATGAAGGGAGTGGAGCATCTCCCTGGTGAGGAAAGGCTGAGGGAGCTGGGGCTCTTTAGCTTGGAGAAGAGGAGACTGAGGGGAGACCTAATTAATGTTTACAAATATGTTAAGGGCAAATGTCATGAGGATGGAGCCAGGCTCTTCTCAGTGATGCCCAATGACAGGACAAGGGGCAATGGGTGTCAGCTGGAACACAGGAGGTTCCCCTTAAACTTCAGAAGAAACTTCTTTACGGTGAGGGTGACAGAGCCCTGGGACAGGCTGGCCAGGGAGGGTGTGCAGTCTCCTTCTCTGGAGACATTCAAGACCCTCCTGGACACCTTCCTGTGTGATCTCATTTAGGTTCCTGCTCTGGCAGGGGGATTGGACTGGATGATCTTTCGAGGTCCCTTCCAATCCCCAACATTCTGTGATTCTGTGATAACAACCCAGTTATTTTGCACATTAACAAGTTGAGCTACTAGTGCAACAGGGAGTGCAGTCAGTGGTTCTCAGCACAGTGGCACCATGAATGGGGTTGTTCTCCATAGGCACTGTTTGCACTAGTATTGTGCTAGTTCTTGTCTATACAGCGAAATGCTTCTCTCCTTTCACACACTTGGCTATTTCTTGGTTTTCCAGGCTGTTTCTCTTCCGGAAGATTCCTTTGATCAGTTGCTCTTCACTAACGTTTTTCTGTTAAATCCATTTGGCAATTCCACTGAGTACTTTCTAGCTGTTAACGTGAGGACTCTGTCCAGGGCATTCTTCCCTCCAGGGCTAGATTTGATTGCTTTTGGTAACCTCTGTGTCACTCTTCTGTATTTTTACTGTACTTGATCAAATTGGAATCTTGTTTAAAAAGGTTTCCAATTTGTTACGCAGAACAGCTGTGACGGAGGAGGTGAAACGGTCTTCCATGCAGCAGGAGTTTCAGCTTGTGCCCCACTTCTTTACAACTGAGGACTGAAATCTTTGCAATGCACAGAGACACCTGGGCTCTGTTTCATCACAGCCAACTGTAGAGATTAACTGCTGTTCTTAAATTCGGAGTCTCATCACTCAAGGTTCTCTGCTAGTCAGAGGAGTGAATGCTATCTCCAGATGGCTAGGATTTGTCATTTCTTTCTGTCAACACAAGGGGTTGTATGCTGAGACTTCACCAGCTCATCCGACACAGGGATATGCTTAAAGCCTGCTTTTTCAGTCTAGATCTTAAACTCCTAATGCAATGTCATCATTTCAGGTTGATCAATAAGTTCTCAAAAATACTGACATTGTGCTTCAGTGGGATAGATTTAAAGTGGTAGGCAGAAACTGATCAAAAACAAAAACAGCTGCCTGCAAATCACACCAGGGACCAATAGATTTTTCTGGTAAATCCACATTCTTTCTATTGTTCTGCAGTTTATCAGGGTAACTTCCTGCATCTCCCTAAGCCTCAGCAAAACTCTCACACTTCTTGTTGGTTTCTATGTGCCTGAAATCACATTTTTAATATAAGCTTGGGCTAAAGGAGTTGGGATCAAGAGAACATGAAAAACATCCTCCATGTATTGCCTAGTAAACTGAACAGCAAAGTAGAAAAAGATTAAGTGCAGCATGCCAGCACTCTTTGTTGCATAGCAAAAAGGGTTACTGGATGTGGTGTGAATAAAATTAATACTAGCTTCCTCTAGAAAGTAACTTTAATCTAAACATATTTCAGACCTGGCAACATGTGATAAAGGAACCTGCATTGCACCTGTATGCAGTGAATTCAGTGTAAGGACAGGTCTAGGAAATGGAACCTTCAGAGGCTCACAAACGTCTACAGGCTTGCACTAACATTGCAGGGGCAAAGAGACAAAGTTTAAATTAAGCATAAGACCTGTGCAGCTGTAGTGCTCGCTGCAATGCTAATGGAAAGCCTGGAGTCTCAAGTGTGATATCTCGAGAGAAGTACTAATGAGCTGGTAGCCATGCAGTCATAAAGAAGGAATGCAATAGAAAACAGAAACAACAAAATATAGAGTAGCAGCCCCAAAATTATTTTGCTTTCTTATTCATTTTGTGCGTATCATAGTTGCCACATAGCCTACTGCACAGAATAGCCATGTTTTTAATCAGTCTTCAACAGGAGTGCTAGCTTGATTCATTAAAGTACATCATATACCACACTGGACATGTAAGGTGATTCTGTAATTTGGTTTTCTGGTGTTGTTTTCTTGATACCTACCCTAAGCTGATTGCAGAACTGGGACCGTGTCTTTCTGTGTGTTTGTATGGCTGGTTATCACAGTGGGCCCTGATCCTCGCTGTCCTTTTGGTGACTGTAAACCACCTGATGAAACACTGGTTTAGTAACTAATGGACAAAGATAATTCATCTGAAATAAATCCACACAGTGTTTTCCAGCTAGGAGGGGCCAGAGCGCTGTGAAAGCTCTGAGAGCACCTAGGGTTGAATCCTGGTTTGCTGTCTGTTGAGTTTAACATATGACTCCTCCCCTGATTCTTTAGTCATGTACACAAAGTGGTTTAAAAACATACTTTGACTGAATGTGACCAAAAACAGCTGTGAGGAGGAATCTTTCTGTTGTATGTCTCCTTCATTCTTGTGTTGATAAAATTAATAGAAAGGATTGAAGGGTAGTCTTTGATTGATCTGAAAAGTCTCTGAAGAATGTGTGGTCCCTAGTAGCCCAGTACTGTGGCAAACACCGTACCTGGTGCTTAAGACTTCAGCTGCAAAGATGGCTACCAGCTTCTGCTGAACCTTCATATGCATAAAACTTCATACTTGGGTGTTTCAGAGCTTGCTAGCTCTGCAGTACACTGTCTGGCTAGCCAGAATGTAAACCCTATAGCATAGGAGTTGCTTCATCTATCATTGCCATATGACTATCTCTGGATTGAAGCAAAAAGGTATTTTAGCATGACCCAGTCGTTTAGCACGAGCTTTCTGATGGGGGAGTGAGGATAAAGAGCATCTCCATTGGAAACAAGCTGATATTTAGGCAGAAGAAAATTATCCTGAGGGAATTTAGCCAGGTCAGCTGCACAACAATCTCCTGAAAAGTGGCATCAGATCTTTAATGAGAACAGATGGCCAGGAGCAGAGCTTATGCCACCTTTTGTAGCAAAGCCTTTCTTTACAGTAGGCAGCTGTAGTGCGTGTGGCTCGGTGCAGAAGGGGAGTAGAGTGCCCTCTTCTGAACTGCCAGTAAATCAGTCTCAGGGTTTTCACTGTCGTGAGACATTCTGTGCTGTAGCTATAGTGGCTGTCACAAATACGAACTATGACGAGGACAGATCTTGGAGCAGTGCTATGACAAGTGAAGGATGCTTACTGATGTGGAAATCTTAGATTTCTTTAGTGAGTAAATACCATTTTTACAAATCTAGTCTTTTGAGGGGACAGTGCTGCTTATTGCAGCTCAGTTTTAAAATGCATGTTTAAGCATATGTTTTTAAGAGCATATTCTCTTAGATCTTAAATCAAACACTTCAAAAAGGGTAGCCATTGTGATTGCTCATAAATGTAAACCAAGGCTTCAAGAAGATCGTCAGCTACCCAGCGTCATACCTGGGATCAGAATCAGAGCAGAGCAGGAGTCTCCCATACCACTAGGCCACGCTGACAGCAATGCCTGAGGCTTTCTGTGGCAGCACAACGTGCTGTACTCTTTTTCTGCAGTGACAGAAACATTGGACAAGGTCAATAATTCTGGGAGTTGCTAAATTTTGTTTGTTTGTTCATTTGTTTTTCTTTAAATGTGCCAATAGTGTTATGTGCAATGAGCTGAAGGTCCTTCTCCTCTGTGGTGCTCCTATGACAGCTCTTGGAAGTAGCTCTTTTTTTTTAAAGCTGGTTATCCTCTATTTCTCCTTGTGCTTATTGTCTTCTTTTGGGAGCTGCAGGATCTTACAATGAAATGTAATGAGGAAGAAAAATCACTAAGCGCAGAGGCATTTTCTAAGGTTTCACTGACCAACTTGCGTAGACCAGCAGTTCCAGATCTCTCCACAGACCTGGGAATGAACATCTTCAAAAAGGTGAGTGGGAGAAAATTGTACTTTAATTTACCTATGATTCAGCACGTCAGTGTCCTGCTAAGTAGCAGATGAAGGTCTGCTTGGACTGTATATTAATACCAGATGTGAGACTGACACCTCTTTTCATTGGAAGTGATTCTGTGTGTTACTGCATAGGTTTTTATATGCACATTCCAAACATAATACTAAAATCTTTATACAAATAACTATCCTGTTGAAACTGCATGAGGGGAGGGTACTCAGACAGTGCTGATTTTTAAGTGCTGGTGCTCACTGTAGTTCCATCTAATTCGGTGAGTTTTTCTGATGTTTTTACCTCATAAAGCTCTGAGTTTGCAGCCATCCAAGATACTTAGCAGAGTTTTGTGGATTCTACAAATATAGCTCATGGTCTGAGAATGTAATAAAATTATACAAGGGCATCCATCCCAGCCTAGGGCAAGAGTGAGTTTCTTTAAATATTCATGTGGTCTCAGGGTGCAGATAGCTGTTATCAGGGTAAACAACCAAGATAAAAATCTCAGAGTGGAAGGTTACACTTGGGCCACATATCTGTGTTCTCTTTTCCCCTCAAATGGTAGTTTGCCATGCTTCAAAGCCTCTACCTGCTCTTGTATTTGCTCCTCTTCCTCCTGCAGTTTAAGAGCCGCAAAGAGGACAGGGAGCGTGAGCGCAAGGGATCAATTCCTTTCCACCATACTGGGAAGAAGCGGCAGCGAAGGATAGGGGTGCCGTTCCTCCTCCATGAGGATCATTTGGATGTCTCGCCCACTCGCAGCACTTTCTCTTTCGGCAGTTTCTCTGGAATCGGAGAGGACCGGCGTGGTATTGAGAGAGGAGGATGGCAAACCACCATATTAGGTGAGGTATTGTTGTCTCTGCCTCAGGTTCTGTGTCATTCCTGTCCTGAACATTCAGAGAACAACAGAGGCACTTTATTTCTTTACCCATCCTATTGCTACCTTATGTCCTTGGCTCTGTTTGCAGCATTACACACCTGTTTGCCGAAGTGGCAACTGTGCTGACAGCAGACCTTCAATGACTTATGCTTTAGTTCACTTTTTCTCTGAAAACTACCATCTTTACTGGGATAATAGCTACTGTAGCAACCTGTAGTCATGTCTGTAGCACTTCAATACACTTTTCCTGATGGTAACAAGCATTGCTCAACTGCAGCTTAAAATAGATTCAAGGAATGGTTGCCTTCTCTTCTTTTAAAGAGAAATCTCTGGAGAGGCAGCAATAGGATCATTAGGAATATGGAAAAAAATATTCACAGTCTTTCTCAAGTGGCTACAAAATAAATAGGGTATTGTCTCAGTGAGGCTTACACTGTCTTGATATTGCAAAGATGCAGTGTTTGAATCTAAATACTGGCTCCTTCAAGCTTCCAACTTCACTGAACAGTGTCTAGGCATTGTTTCTGTTTCACAAACTTACTCCTAATATAATAGATTTGCAGCCTGGCACCCTTTCTTGGAGATGATTGGCAGCAAAATGACTGCCTAAGGCCATGCCAGAGCCTTCTTATTTTCACCGACTTAGATGGCATCATTTGGTGGGCTCTCCATTGTAAACATGTGCCTCTTTGGGATGCAGGACAATCAGCATAGCCAAGTGAATTCTGAAAGATTCACATGTGGTTTGTCAATGGTTAATACACAAACACCTACAGGTTTGAGTATCCAAATCCTCTTTCCCACGTCTTTAGTAACTCAAGGTGTGTGTTAAATTTTGACCTCAGGGGCTCCAGATTCTTGTCCTGGGTTACCCTACAGTTCTTTCATTCTGATATCTCAGTGAAATGACATATTTCAGATCCAGTGGTCAACAGATCCTTTGCTTTAGTGCTTCCCATACTAATACGTGTATTTCTTTTAGACAAAGGGAGAAGAAACCAAATTCCTGTAACTTGCCCCAAAGGGTGGAGTCTCTCAGTGCTGACCATTCTTGTTTTCCTAAACCTACTGGGTGGTGGCAGTGAGGGTGACAGCTAAATCCATATGTGCTGAACAGAAGAGCCTTTCAGAGAGTTTGTACGTTCTGTCTTTATGTTAACGAACTCCTGTGAGATACCCTGCTGTAATGTTCAGTTCTGCTTCACAGGGTCCCAGAAGGCCTTGACTTTTATTGACTCCAATCCTTCAGTTTCTAACCTCTGTCTCTTGCCTCCAAGTACCCCTTGGATGAGTAAACTAAATCTCTATTTCTTGTCTTAACCCCAGGAAAGTTTACCAGACGAGGGAGCTCTGACACAGCAACGGAGATGGAGAGCCTGAGCGCCAGGCATTCACACTCTCATCACACGCTGGTCTCTGATCTGCCAGACCACTCAAACAGCCATGGGGAGAACACAGTCAAAGAAGGTAAATTTAACACATCAGGAAAGAAACGTTTCACTGAAATATCAACTCCAAGAAGCTGAGGAAGTGTTACTGTTTCCATGTATGAGTATGTGACTAAATTTTTTTTACTTTTTTTTTTGCCAGGATTTCTTGATTTATTTTTGTTCTATGTAGAAAAAAGTTCCAAACCTTTCGTGTTTATTTGGTGCAGTTTGTCAAAAAAATTGGCAGGCATCAGAAGGGAGAAAGCAGGGTTTGGGATTTTTTTGCCTTACCACAACACAGGACAGAAGTTTGGGCAGAAACTTGAGATTACTAACTTCAGTGGTTTTGTGGAGAATCTGGTGGTATTTAATGCCCCTTTGCTGTCCCCAGCTTCTGGACTGTGCTCAGGATCATGTTTTTTTCTTAATTCCTCTGGTTCCAAATAAAAGCCAGGCTTTTAAATTTTCTTGAAATCTCCCTGGGCCCCATCTGGCTTGGAGCCCTCTGCAGAAATAGCAATGTCAATGTGACCATGACAGGAGAGCCTCTGGTGGGATGAAGTCTGATCCAGAAGGAAGAGTCTTTCTATTGGCAGAGCAACACCACCTTTGTCAAACAACGTTAGCCAAGGAGAGGAAAGTGCTCTTCTGTCAGCAGAGCTGTCTGCACCAGAGCACTTTGCTGGCACTGCTCCTACTGCCTAAACACAGTGAGTTTGTTTTCTCCCTTGTGCGCAGTGCTACTGGCAAAACCTGGTCATAGAGACTGGGCCTCACTTGTGCCAAGTGCAGCCTTAAACTTTGATGAGGGAACGGGGTATCACACCCCCCATGGAGCAGGGCACAGTCTGTCTCTGCACAAGCTGTCGGGCAGCACACCTAGGAGGCTACAGATGCACTCACATGGGATGTGCTGTAGCCTTGGAGCTCTCGAAGTTCCATACTCTTTTAGCACAGCAAATCAAATAGCCTGAGAGAGGATGGATTTGTGTCAGCTCTAATCCAGCGTGGGCACTTCTCCTTCATCTCTGCTCTGTGTGTCCTGAGCAAATCTCTTCTGGATCAGTTCTGCAGAGTCTGTTTTCCCGACTTGCATTCATTCTATAGGACATTAATCCTACTCACTACACCAGCTTCCTAGCCCTGTTTTATAAAAGGTAGCCATATGCAATGCTTATTTTTCTAGTTGTACCTCAGGTACAATTATGCAGCAACTATATGAATAATTGGACAAATCATACTGTTTCTAGTGGTAGTCTCTGACTTTGAATGAACTGTTCTGTAGTTAGAGAGTAAGTACAAATTCATGATTTCCCAACTATTGTCTGCTTTCCTTGGAAAGGAGACATTTGCTAATAAACTCGTTTCTTCTGGCGGACACACTGAAAAGCAGAGATGAAAAATCAGTTATGTCCTAGGTAGCTGCTCAAGAGGAATCAGGGGCACATGCTGCAGGAAAGCATGGATGTAAAGAAAGAGTCTTTAGCCCTCCTTCCTTCCCCGCCTCTGTGAGTCGCATCCAGTTCAAGGTGCTGCTATTGTCCTTGGAACATTTCCCCTAATAAATAGTGCTGGTTCAGTGCTGGCAGTGTTGAACAGGCTATGAGGAAATGTTGTGGCCACTCTGGCAAGTTGTTATTTGCATAATATAACCAGTCCATCACAGAGTCAGTGCCTGAAGTTTCTTACTAGATGTAAGTTGTTTTGTTCATTAGGACACATGAAATAGTCTTAGGTTGAGGTTCTTTGTTATTCCGTAGCCCTGTTACTCTACTGCTTGGGAGAAGGTGGTCCAATCAACACTGTGGAACACACAGGGTCTTTCTACACTTACAAAGTGTATAAACCTACTTATAAAGCATTAAATGCGGGAAATTACTAACATTGTGGCCTAGAGTTCAGCATAAGTTGTAAAACCATGGTGAATGCCTGATAAATTTGGTCTGTGTAGCCAAAATGTTGTCACTACCTAAGCTAACATGAAGTTAAGCTGGGTTGTCATGAGATCCCTTCTCTGAGTACTGTGAATTTAGACACCACATTGTCTTTCTCATCAGTCAACTTTGCATTTTGGAGATGGTTTAGACTGTCACAGGTACTGTTAGGAACACAGTGCTTCATTTTTTTTCAACTGTTGTGATGAAATGTTTCAAACTGGTGTGACTTAGAAAGTTGTTCCAAATTGATGCTGCTGCTACCCTACCTTCACTCCTGCATCCAGCTGCAGATTCCTCCCTCTTTTTTTTCTTTCCCTTGCAGAGGAAGTGTTGTTTTTAAGACCAGGCACTGGACCAATACAGGGAGCAAAGCTAGCCAAAATCTAGTCCCTATTTTGGATTAGATTTAGGCTGGCCGAGCTCCCTGAGCTACATAACTGCTCAGTTGACCAAGATCAACTTAAGCTACTACGGAACTATACTGCTAGAGCAAGCTTGGGGTTGTTCTAGTTTACACTGGCTTAAAGGAAGAAATGAAACTATGCTTTCATCCCTGTCCCCATGATAGGAATTAGGAACCTGTCTTGTCCTCCAGCATTAAGAGCTGCTCCCTTCTTGTAAACAGGACAGCTTTGGTTTGCCATTTCGTAACTCTAGAGATGGAAATTTACAGGTAGCCATTTTCCTCCCTACAGTGCGGTCCCAGATCTCCACCATCACTGTGGCCACCTTCAACACTACCCTGGCCTCATTCAATGTGGGCTATGCTGATTTCTTCAGTGAGCACATGAGGAAGATTTGCAACCAGGTGCCTATCCCTGAGATGCCCCATGAGCCGCTCGCATGTGCCAACCTCCCACGGAGCCTGACAGACTCCTGCATCAATTACAGTTGCTTGGAGGATACGGATCACATTGATGGAACCAACAACTTTGTCCACAAGAACGGCATGCTGGATCTCTCGGTAATTGGCAAGGAATGAGGAAAGCCAGGTCCCTCTTCTGTCAATATAGCTGTACCATTGAGATCAGGGTTTTGATGGGCTTTTCCTCCACCTCTTTATATGACTTCTCTCAGCAGTCCATAAAGGTCAGTCAGATACACTTGTGCATATCATAAAGTCTCCTCTGAGATTCTACAACTCCTATTACTCCTTGCAAGGATCGCATGTGCATGTGGAATGCACACATCAAATCTTAACTGATATTATTTAGTGGCTGTGTTCCTGGGGCATGCACCAAGTTCCCTATAAAGTAGCATAAAACTGAATAGCACCTTTCTTCTACTGGCACCTTAAAACTCACCTTTTCTGCATTCCCCTTAATGACTTGACAGCTCCTGGTGCACTGAAGCAGTGTTCTCAGGCTCACGTATGTCATCTCATGGTTTCCTTTTCTGCCTGACTGTGCCCAGCCTGTGGTTTCTTTCCTTACACCTAGATTGTAGGCTCTTGGGGTTGAGGGTTGTGCATACTTCATTCTGAGTTTGTACTGTGCCTGCTATAATGAGTCTCTGGTCTATGACTAGAATTTCCAGGCACTAAATAGTACTAGGAGAGAAAATAAGTCTGACTTTAAATATGATGTTTGAATCTCCCAGGTGGTCCTGAAGGCTGTTTACTTGGTCCTGAACCACGACATCAGTTCCCGTATTTGCGATGTGGCACTGAACATTGTGGAGTGCTTACTTCAGCTTGGCGTGGTGCCCTGTGTAGAGAAGGTTCGGAGGAAGAGTGAGAACAAAGAAAATGAGGCCCCTGAAAAGAGACCCAGTGAAGGATCCTTCCAGCTCAAAGGGGCTGCTTCTGCTGGTTCAGCTTGTGGATTTGGGCCTCCCCCAGTTAATGGAGCTGGAGATGGAGGAGAAGAAGGAGGTGGTGGAAGTGGTGGAAGAGGTGGAGGTGGAAGTGATGGAGGTGGTGGAGGAGGAGGAGGACCATATGAGAAGAATGACAAAAAACAAGAGAAGGTTTGTCTTGCTTCCCTTTATACAATTCCTGGATGTAGTGTAAGATGTGTTAAGATTGAGTATGCATGTGTATGCAACTGCCCTTCTGTTTTGCTGCCTTTTTTTTTGTGCCATAATCACAAATTAATATGTTTTGCTCTGGTGCTTACTTGGGGTTCCACGAAGAAACACAATTGGGAATTCAAGCACTGTAACTACTCCAGCAAAGCAGCTGCCAAAATCAGAGTTTGTGAGCCATGCATGGACATTTTCAATATCTTGTTAAAGTGCCTGAAACCCTCAATCACAACAATTTTTTTTTTCAGGTTTATTATTCATAGCTTATAATGAAAAACAAAATCTAATAAACAAGCACAGTTTGTGTTCTTTGATGGCCAGAAATCATAAATTTTTCAGTGTTTCTATGGGAATCAGCCAAGAGATGGTATGGCTAACCTCCAGGGTTGCAATTCATAGCAGTGTAATACCTAAGGCATTTTTAAAAGATGCTTGTTTTTCTGCTCAAACAAGCCAACTCTCTGTTTTTGAGGCAGAATTTTTAGAAGTAAGTGCTGAATGGTATTCATAGCAGCATCTAGAGGACTTTGCATTATAGGATGCCTATTTGAGGGGACCTGAAAAGGAGAGGGCTGGTCCTGAAACTTGAAAAATAATTGGAATAAACATTTCAAGAGTAACAACTCAGTAATGGAGTATCTGAGAGGAGAAATGGATAGCTATTTGTTCAAAGTAAAATGGTAACAAAAGGCCAGTGGTTGTATCAGGGTTTCACACCATCTTTCCCTCTTGACTCAGGATGAAGGCCCATCTGTCAGCACCCATAGGCTGGCACTCACAATGCTGATCAAAATTGTGAAGTCCCTGGGTTGTGCCTATGGTTGTGGAGAAGGACACCGAGGGCTCTCTGGAGATCGCCTGAGACACCAGGTATTCCGGGAGAATGTAAGAGAACTAAAGCTCATTAAAGTGTCCCCCTTGTACTTCTGACATCAGCTGCTGAGATTGCTGTCTGCCCCCTCTGTAGCTTTCTCTGTATTGGCAATGAATGTGTTGCTCTTTGCCCCAGCTCACAGACGGCGTTGCAGCCCAACTGTAGCAGATTTTCAGCTATTGTGTCACCTTCCAGCCCCTGGGGCTTGCTGAGAGCACACCCGAGTCTCAGGGTGCTTCTGAGCACCCCAGTGGATGGGTTGTCTGGGAAGGGACAAGTACGTGGGATCAAATTCCCTGTGTGAGCTGGTGTAAGTTATTTTTCACACTGACAGTACCCCAACAGAGTACGCTGTTTACAAGAGGTGCAGCTATCTGGGGTTGCATATCTGAATCCAGAAGTCTAAGGTGTAGTTGTGTCTATCTTTCCTAATGGTGATTATGACTGGTTGCTGCTGGGCTGCTCCATCAGCTGCCGATGATTGGAGTGCACTGTGCTTGCTGGCATGTTAGTGTGCTGCAAGGAAGTAGAAGACTCATGCCCTGTTGAAGGCCAGGGTGGATGGTCACTGTTGATTCCTTACATTTTTGGTTCTGCCTGGGTTGAAGCAGTGGAAAATGCCCAGAATGTAGCCCAGATATCTGACTTCATCCTGAAGAGTTTGACTCCCTGAGATCTATGAAATGCCCTGTCAAATGGGAGCCTTTCAAAGGCTTTCTCCAGCACGTGCCTCCTCCTCACCTCCTGTGCTCGCAGCAGGGAGCATTTTTGATTACTGTAATGAGAATTTACACTGTGCCCATCCATGGTGTGGGTGGGAGCCAGGTGCTTCTCCATGGCTTTGGCTAGCCTGAGCCATGCCAACAGAGCTATAATTTGGTTCTGAGATCTGAGCTAGATAGCTCAGAGGTGGATTGGCTGCCTCGGTACCATGCAGCATTCTTCTGTTAGTTAGACTCCTGGGTACTGAGGAGACTGCAGCAGTGACGTTAGTTCTGGACACAATGGATGGGGTAAGAGAGTCCTGGTGATAACAGTAGAAAGGTTCTTCACAGAGCACTGGTTGAACATACACCATAATCATCAAAATGTCAGTTAGGCTTTTATGTTATGCTGGAGCTAAGCCAGCAAAACATTGAACATAAAAGAGTAAGTCTCTTGGAGCCAAGGTTCTTATCAGACTCATTGAATTGAGGTCTTTATGGGAAGAAATTTTCCTACACGTCTAAGTCTGCTGCATCTTCTGTGCATTTGTCTGGCCAAACTGCTTTGCATGCACCATTTGTGTTGACTGCATGGACAATCACATGTCTGAGTTTACTGGAAAGTTAAACACCCTATTGTAGGTAGCGGGAGAGTTCATGTTTCTGGTAGAACTGATATTTCAGATTCTCTAACTTCAGCTTGCATGGGATCCCAGTAGGATGGATACTTTTGTGATAAGAAGTTGACAATTAATAGCTTTCAAATCAAAAGCTAATGTTTTGCATTATATAAATTGATCACTGGGTAAAGGTGCATCAGATGGGTTGGGTCTGAGCCAGAGGCTGAAAATCAGATGTCTGAGGCTAAGAACCCATTTCACCAAGGCAATAAGCCCTGACTGAGGTGGTGCATTCCTACTTCATCCATATTCAGTGAGATTTTACCTTTGGATTGGGGAGAGGAGGAGGAGCCTTGTGGCATGGCTGGCAGTGACTTCACCACCACCTCCAAACAGCGGCACCTGTACTGGTGCCTCTTTGGTGCCTTCAGCACTGCCTCCTTGTGCTAAACCTCTTGTTTGCTTCAGAGGCAAACCTGTCTTCTGTTACAGCACCCGAACTTTCTGGCTCCCAGGGGAGGCTACTTTAGGCAGCTCAGAGTGGTACTGGCTAAGCAAGAGCAAAAAATACCCTGTGCCTGTCAGCAAAACTCGAACACCTACTGTGATGTGATGTGATTTGATGGATATCATTGCAGGCTCAGAACTGCCTCACAAAGCTGTACAAACTGGATAAGATGCAGTTCCGGCAGACCATGAGGGATTATGTGAACAGGGATTCTCTCAATAATGTAGTGGATTTCCTGCATGCTTTACTGGGATTCTGCATGGAGCCAGTCACTGACAGTAAGTATAGCTGGCATCAGAAACTTGCATGTGGATATTTCTCAACTCTACCATCAGAAAGAAGCCACACCTTTTCCTTTAAAAAAGAAAAAAATGTGAATTACTATCCACAGAATATACAGACTATATCCTCCGATGGTGTGGGTCAGGGGACCCTTCTGATTTGACCATCCAGTGATCTCACTTAGTGATCTTGCATCACCTAGTGCACCTGAAATTGAAGGCCTCTCTTTTGATTCATTCTACCTGTTGTTCTTGGCTCTTCAGATAAAACATTTTCATTCAGCTATGCCTCAGGCAGGAAGGTTTCTGCTTCATGGCATGACCAGGCGCCAGCTGGAATGGCCAGTTTAATTCAGAGTTTATTCTGAATGGAGATACAATTGAGCATTAAAACCCTCTGTGGTGCCTCAGGTGAGGCACTAAATAGCAAGAACAGATTGAGTAAACAAGAACATGAGCACACAGATGCACATGCCTGCAGATACAAGTGTGTGTGCTTGTGTCTATGTATATGTATATATTTTTTTTTTTAAGTTAGGAAAATTATTCCATGTACTATTAGAATGACCAAACATTTATGCTTGGTCCCTGCATTCAACAATAGATTATTCACAGAGTAGGAATAGCTATTTTGAAGCACTCAGAGAGTCTGACTAGTCTATTAGCCTACCTCTGATCTCAGGCATTTCAGAGAAAGCATCAAAAAATATTGTATAGCAGACTTTTGTAAAGAAGATGCCCATAGGAAGTTTCCCCAAGTATTCATCAATTATTGACTGCCTCATGCTTTGAAGCATGGCAGCTCATGCAGCTTTTGAAAGTTTTTTCTCTCGCCTAATGTAACTGGAATGTTTCTTGCTCTTCATATTCTAAATGTATAATTCTTTTTTTACTCTTTCTGAGAGCTTGGTCTTCTTGTGCACCTTGCAAGAACAGCATTCCTGTAGTTCAGAAGATTTTCTTTTCAGAAGTCTTGTCACTTTTCGGCTTAATCAAACATTTCTTGTCCTTTAGAACAGTAAATAGAAGAGCTGGAGGTATTGTTCAAATTTTATCCTTTATTCTGTATGTGTCTAAATAAGAGGTGTGGATAAAAGGAAGCCAGAGTGGTCCTGATCTTTTCAATATTTTTTCATACTATAACTATTTCTAGGAAGATTTAACCCTTCTCATTTATTTTACCCTTCCCTTCCCTTCTACTTTATTTTTGTGGGGTGGGATTGTGAGAAATGAGCATAAGGTAATAGGCAGGGACTTGCCCTTGTCTCATGTATCTGAATCCCTTTACATGTGCCTTTAAGCCATTTTTTGTAAACCATTGCCTAACAAGGGGGACTTGCTTGTGCTTCAATTTCACAGACAAGGCTGGATTTGGGAATAACTTCACCACAGTGGACAAGTCTACAGCCCAGAGTGTAGAAGGCATTATTGTGAGTGCCATGTTCAAGTCATTGATCACTCGCTGTGCTTCCACCACACATGAGCTGCACAGCCCAGAAAACCTGGTAAGCACTTGATTTCATGTTAACAAAGTTACTTTTTCACTTGGGTGTCACCAGTGAAGAATTAATTCAGTTTAATAAAATCCCATGAGCGTAGCAAGCTGTGCAGTCACAGCTGAAACATGATATAAATGTGATGCCCTCCTTTCATGCCTGCCTTGGAACCTGGGCGCTTAGCAAGAGTGAGAGTTGTGCACTCTGAATTGCACTTTCCTCTTCATTAAAGCAGCTTCTGTGGGGTTTTTTCCTAAAGGGATTAGTAGCAAAGTCTGGAGCAAGGGGTTAATGATCAGGACCATAGCCAGCATAAGTCAACTTTCAGCAAAGTTAAAGCCAGTTTACTTGGTTAAGGATGTAGCCCAGCTGTGGCAGAGCATATGAGTTACTGAACAGTTATTTGGCAGGTCTTCCCAAGGTTTAGACAAATATTAAATTTACCAAACACCTGGAGGAAAGTGAGGTGCTGCTGGTTGCTGCCTGTGTGCTATCTCCCCAGAACAGCCAATAGAATGGATGAGATGAGCTCTCTTCTTCCACATTGGTGCAGAATCTACCAGCTGATCTCAAACCACCTCTTTTATTATCAGAAATTAGGATTTTTCATGGAAGCAACCAAGAAGCACTCTTGTGCTCCATCTTTATGGTAGAGCTATAGAGGCACTGAAGTCCAGCTAAAGGGACAGTAATCCTCTGTGAGGGCGTGGGAGAGGGAGAAGGAAAACACAGTAGCATCTTAAACGAGCAGAGTAGTCTGCCTGTGTCCAACTTCTTTTGTCCTTACAGATATTCCTCTTTTGTAATGTTTCTTAGCAGAGACTAAGGGGTGGGATGCAGAAAAACATGCACCATTGCTGAACCCGGATTAGGATCACCAAGTGTAGGTTTTCCTTATAAATTGTATGTCTTTCTGGACTCTATTTTAGTCAGTGTTTAAGGTGAAACTTATCATTAAGCACATTAAGTGTGTCTATATGGACAACATAGTACGCAGAGTATATAGGAGGATTTCTTGTTGTTGCATCACTCTTTCAAGTCAATCTTGTGTTCAGCATCTTATGAAAAAGAACCTTAATCAATATAGAAATCCAATTATTTGTTTAGAGGGTTTTTTTTGGTTGAAAGCTGGCTGTGCAGTTCCTAGATGGGAATTTTCAGAATAAGCCAAGATCTTTCAGGAAAGTTCACAGATTAAAAATCAGGTCCTGTATATCTGTTCCCTCCATCCCCTTACCCTCAGATATAGAGATGATTTGTCACATCATAGGTCTGTATGAATGTTCAGAACTAAAAAGAGCCTTGAACGTAGGAGTAGGTTGGGGAATGAGTGAGCCATTTCTCTCTCTTCCCATGATGTAAAACTCTAAAATAATCAAGAAAAATCCCAAGATATCCATTGGTTTTGAAACAAAACATGCAATATTTTGCACTCTACTTTCCGCCTCACTCCTTTGTTTAGTTTTTTCATGCCTTTTAAGATTATGGGCTAGATAAATGGCTGTGGTTTATCTCGATTTCAGCAAAGCATTTGATACCGTCTCCCACAGCATCCTCACAGCTAAACTGAGGAAGTGTGGTCTGGATGATCAGGTAGTAAGTAGAGGTGGATTGTGAATTGGTTGAAAGGAAGAAGTCAGAGAGTTGTGGTCAATGGGGCAGAGTCTAGTTGGAGGCCCATGTCTAGTGGAGTCCCTGAAGGGTCGGTACTGGAACCAGTACTGTTCAATATATTCATCAATGACCTGGATGAGGGAACAGAGTGCACTATCAGCAAGTTTGCTGATGATACAAAGCTGGGAGGAGTGACTGACATGCCAGAAGGCTGGGCTGCCATTCAGAGAGACCTGGACAGGCTGGAGAGTTGGGCAAGGAGAAATTTAATGAAATTCAAGGGCAAGTGTAGAAGCTTACATCTGGGAAAGAACAACCCCATGTAC